GCTAGGCAACGACTTAGTAAATACGTTTCCGAGGCAACGGATACATAGGCAACAATACAGGAAATGTTGGAAACAGCGTTTTCTATACGGTCAGTGCCTAGTTAGGCATTGGCTACTGCAGACGGTTGTAAATCACAAAAATTGGAGGCATAGGGATCAACATTGTTAAAGCAGCTACCAAGCGACGACCAGTGAAGACGTAGAAGAACGAGAAGACTTCTTGTGCTGTAGTTGTTTGTAGAGGGTGTAAATTAGTGAAAGTGTTAAAACAATTTGTGGTTGCACATAATCGGCATTCAGTGAATTCATTTATCAAGCCAAGCCCCATGTCTAGTAACTAAAACGTGACAATATAAAATGATTACATTAAGAAACATCATGATGCATTTCAGGAATTGTACAAGTACACAGAACATGAGAGTGTTGTTCTTAGCCATAGTATTTATAGCACAGACCTGTGGTCTGCAATTTTTCACAATTTACTTGAAGTACCTGAACTTCTCAGCCATTCAAGTGGGCATTATTCGTGCAAGCCAAACTTGGATATCCATGCTATTAAACCCTGCATGGTTGTTCATAACAAAACGTCTTCAATCTATAAGACGGAAGAAATTCGTTATATTCATGTTTCTTGTTGTCATCATTGCGTTACATCTCTGCTTAACATTCCTTCCCCAGTCCAGTACACTACAAGATGTGACTCATTGTCAAAAACATACATCACATCCATTAAAGGAAAAACAACTCAAACATCATGCTGACAAAGAGTATGACCACTTCAAACCAATGCTACAAGTACCTTCTCATACTGCCAATGTCACGGTGATTAAAACAACGTCCAGTCCCTTAAACAGGACTCTACCAAAAATAAATTCTGAACACAATGAATTAATTTTACATGAAAAATCAGTTCCTCAGAATGTTAGTATTGATGAGGTGCAGGATGTCAGTATAGAACAGACACCTATTCCAGTATTAGACAAGGATGAAACCTACCAGAGTTCAGAAGTTTTCCCACAAAAAACAAATAATGTAGCAGGTCATAACACCCCTATTCATAAAACATGGCATTTCAGGAGACATTCACCACAATATGAACCATGGAATGCTTATTCAAATAAGAAAATTCATAATCTTAAACATTCAGAGGAAGGAAAAGTTCCTAATATTTTGGAAAGGAATAAGGCAGAAGACGTAAAGTTTCATGAAACATGGGTTCCAAAGCATGCAAACATTCCTTCAGTTCAGCATAAAAATGTAAGAAAGTATTATGCACAAGACAGTAGTTTCAGTGGCTCACACATAACATCAAAAAGAAGAAATCTGGAAGACAGTTTTAGTGATGAACAGTCAACCAGTAGACTACAAGAAGACATTGTAGAAGGGATGGGAGATCCCGTAGAAAGTGCTCAAGAATCTGAGAATCAAATAAACATTTCCAGCAAGAGAAAACATCAAGATCTTCCTCAACTTCTCATGCGGTACAAAAGTGGAAGAAAAATGAAAGAAGCGGGACACAAGGAAGTCTCCTTACCTATATCTGGGGAAGTGACTAATTTGTTAGGAGCAAGAATGATCCATAAAAATATGAAGCAAGATAAAGAGTTTGATCCTCAGGAGAGACATCTAAGAAGAAAACATGTCCCAAAATCTAAGGCATCTAAGTCACAAGAAGAAGAAGAGTTTAGTAAAAATGTAATGAATGAACTTATCATACAACAACCAGTACAGCACACAGTAAAGCACTATGACAAGAATAATAAAATACATAAAAGAGATGTTACATCACAAACTCTAAAGTATAATGAAACGAGGGAAACAAACATTGAATTCTCTATGCAAGACCCTATAAGAGAATTGATGAATGTAACGTCTTCAGAATCTGGACATAATGACACAGACCTTCAGGTGGAAAAAATCATTATGCCACGCTCAGACAAAAATACTTCCATGCATCTGTGGAATATTGCTGTCATAAAAAAACTTCCTGACTATTCGTCCACAACTTTTATTGTCGTTTTGATACTATCTATCTTAGTATGTGTGTTTTATAGAGCTATCGCAACAACCATGAATCAGATTCTTCAGTGCGAGGAGACTGTCTTAGCTTCAAGCAACATGCCACTGACATCATCATATCAGCATGTCTTTACCCTCATGGCCTGGGGAGTGTGTGGATGCCTCATTTTGCCAATATTCGTTCTGGCTGCACAATGTTCATACCAGCCCAAAGTGTTTCTTCTGTTTTCTGCTGGATTATTCGTGATTAATTTGTTGATTATATTTATGCTTCAACTGCCAGAAAGACGCTTGCACTGGACGCCATGGGGCTCTGAGAATAAGGGAGAGAGAGGGCAGACATCATTTCTACAGAAGTAAGCAAAAGGAAACTGTATTGTTATATATGTTTTTATTTGTTGCAAGATGCCCTCATTCCTGATAAATATCTACTTTCATGTAAGATTTGAGGTTTTCACGGCGGTGACTATGAAAAATTAGAAATCTGCAAGCGAGGAGACTGTGAGAACCGATACAAGCAGACTGTTCCTTCTACCCTTAAGATGGAGGCGATACATTCCTCCGAAACGTCGGTTAACACCACATTTACACAGTGCCATCCCAGAAGACTGCTTTATTCATATACTTTCATGTTCATCAATGGTTTTAGACTGCATAAAATGTTCTTCTTTGAGCTTCCTCTGGTGATTCCAAAATTTCCATTTCATCAACATTATAAACATAAAAACTATTTCGCTTTTGTCTGCTTGTCTTCATAATCATTCACATTTAATCTGATTTCTCTCTGCACAATTTTTCGTGTAGCCCTATTTCCTTTTTCCGCTGTTGTCTCGCATCTCTGATCAAACCAATTATTTGTCCATCTTTGCTCATGACCGATCACAACCTTCTCAGCTAACTCTTGTTACTCTTTTGACACACTGCCACTATAACCACTCTGCTGCTCTTCTCCCATTCAACAATTCAACAATAACTTTCCAACTTCCTGCCTGTATCTGCCCATAATCCACTTATCTTTTAGCTTTTCAATGTCATATTACTTCTATTTCCCCCAAAACGTTCTCCAATGTAATATTCTACATCCATACCCTATTTCCTTGTAATTGTTGTAGTTGTTAATCCTATTTGGTTTGTATTCATTGTGGTAGGATGTCCTTATTGTTGTGTTTTGTGTATTGTGTTTTGTTTGAACGTGTTGTCACTTAGTGTAATGTGTGTTACTTGTCTGTTGTGTCCTATTGTGTACTACTGCCACCGGGCTAAAACCCAATTGCAGTATAATAAATAATAATAATAAATACTCAATACATACCAAAAATAGGCTTGCATCACAGCTTGACACTCTACAGCTTCTCATATCACTAATATCTGTTGTGTATCTTTCATCTGTCAACACATGGTCAGTCTGATCTTTGGTAAAACTATCTGGTGATGACGATTTCTTTATGTACCAATATCTTATTTTGTGGAAAGTTTGTACTCACAATCATTTTATTGCTGATAGCAAAATCAATAGCTCTGAACGCATTATTGTTGATATATCATGCAAACTTCATCTTCCAGTAGCTGGTTGAAATATCCCCTCTTGATCAGTCTTTGCATTCAGATTATCCATTATAATTTTTGGGTCATGTGCAGGTACTTTGTGATTGGGTTGTATCAAGTTTGTCTTAGAAGTAAGAAGTGCAAAAGTATGTTATCCCTGTATTCTTTAACCTCCTTCTTACACTTAAAACAGACAATGCTTCATTAACTAGCTCCGAGCCAATCACCTTACAATTATATTTCTTATTAACCAAGAATCCTATGCCAAACATATTATTATGCATAATTTCACTATGATATATAGTAGAATTCCCTGTATCCAATATTCAGACATCTTTCCACCTGAAGAAAGCAGTCTTCTGGGATTTGGCACCGAGTATATGTGGTGTTAACCGACGTTTCGGAGGAACGTATCGCCTCCATCTTCAGGGTAGAAGAAAAAATATATAAGAAATCTGCAAGCAAAGTGACCGTGAGAACCGGTAAAAGCAGTCACCGCCGTGAAAGCCTCAAATCTTACATCTTTCCATCTATGAAGAAAGCAGTCTTCTGGGGTGTGGTACCATGTAGATGTGCTTGTACTGGTTCTCACGGTCTCTTCGCTTGCGGATTTTCTTATTTCTCCTTCTACCCTGAAGATGAAGGAGATACGTTCCTCTGAAATGTCGGTTAACACCACATCTACACGGTGCCACATCCCAGAAGACTGCTTTCTTCATAGTCACCGCTGTGAAAACCTCAAATCTTACATCTTTCCATCTAGTTTCTTGATTTGTTGCAAGAGCAGTGCTGCATTTCTCTAATTTCAATTTGAATTGACTTAATGCTTCTATCTTGAATAGTTTTAGGGCGTTTCAAATATTTATAGAATAATAGTTTCAACTGAAACTGCAACAGAGTTGCCATAGGCAAAAGTAATTTCAATCTTTGCTGTACTATTGTACAAGTCATCTTCATATACTGCTGTACAAATTGCAGTGTTCATCATTAAAAGATAGGCATTGTATGTTTATTCTAATTACATATGCTGTAAATGTGTGTTAATTTGATTGTTAATTAGTGAACACCCACTGAGAAATCAACAGGAGGAAGCATGGTTTGTTTTACTTTTGAACTTGCCCTACTCCTCTCCCCTCCCCATATTCCTTTCCAGGCCTACATGTTATCAAATGATGCATCAGAGCCAATGTTTAAAGCCATCTCCCATGAATAACACTACAATAGTCTGCTTTACATGCACTTCCACTTCACATACCCACATCAAAATGTTATCAATACTCACAGAACAGGCATGATACACTGAAACATGACCTTATATATAACTTACAATCATACAGTGTTCTAACACTTGACAGTTCGTTGTTACAGTACTCTGATGCTATATAATTACAATGATAAATCTCACGCTTACAAAACTTTTTTATACATATGGAATTATTGCTTATTTGTGATTTAAAAATATGTAAATGTGCAGTTCTAAGTTTTAAACTTGTTCCTCTCATACCAAAATTGTTTGTTTTTGCAGGTTTGGATACGGTGTTTCAATATTTTTCACTAGCTTTGCCATGGCTTGCAACTTGGAGTATATTCTGTGGCACATTGAAACCCTGCATGGTTTCTCATATAATTACCAGTTACTCTATGGCAGCTATGTTGCAATTGCGGCATTTACTGAAGCCCTAATAACATTGTGGATGCAGAAAAAACATTTATATGATCAGGTATGTTGTTATAACATGCTACCAGGCATTATGTGTGTGCGTGTACATGTGTGTGTTGGCTGTAAAAAATGAAGAACATTCTTCTGATTAAGAACTGGTATCAGGCCCTGGTCACTACTAATTGGATGCTACAGTCAAAGCTCCTTCACATAAATTAATGTGTAACTCCATAAGAGGCATTGATATGTTGTGTGTTATTGCTTTATTATTATTGATCTATAATCTAGAGAGTCATGGGATCATCTTATATTTTTCCTTAGGATAACACAGACTCTGGATGCCAAAATACTCTTAATGCAGCTGAAGATGGAGTCTGGGGAATTGGTATATTCCTGCTTGGTCTTCACTTTTTGGCTGCCTCTTTTCTGCATTCAGCATGGCAGACAGTGTTCCTAGGAATTATACAGGGTTGCAGTGCTGCAATTTTTACCACTAGAACAACTTCTGGTTGGTGGGCACTGGGCTATGGTATAGGAAGTCTGGTTGGAGGGATTGTGGTTGAAGATTCTGGAACACACTGGTTGTTCTGGGTGATCGCTATCAGCATACTTTTCTGGAGTCAAATAATCATTGTGTGTAAAGGGTGAGTACCATACTTTGTACTAAAGCCTGATATAATTTTCAGTGATGGAAATGAATGAAAGCATGACTAGATTTAATATAGATTTGAAAGGAATGCAGACATTTTGGAAAATCATACATAATTTACACCTTTATATAATAGAAGGTTCTTACCACAATTTAAATACTATAATTGTCATGATTCACTTACTAGCATTTACAACATAGATGTGATTTTAGAACCAAGTGAAAGTTTAATAAACTTTGGCCCCAATATATTAAAATAACAGAAATAAGAATAAAGTTTCAAATTGGCTGTTTCATGATTAAAAAATTAAGAGAAAGGCTTTCAGTTTTAGAACTGGCAGATCTGAAGGTTTTCAGTGGGAACGCTAATATTGTCACGTCGATGGGTGACTAAAGACGGGGTTCTTATTGGTAATTGGATTTATTGGATACTTACAGGTCTAACTACAAATAATTATAACTCTGTTACTGATTTTCATACTACAAAGCACTTCACACTAATCTCTTCACTTCACTTAATGGATTTATAACACAGAAACTATAAAAGTCTCCCTAAATCACACACTCTCAATGCCACTGAACTATAGCACACATAAAGTCTGCAAATCACACGTTAAATCTTCACAGGCTGATTTCTTGCATCTATTTTCAGCATAATATTTTTGCATTAAAATTAAGCTTACTTTTGGGGTCGCGCCATAGCCCAAGCGGTTAGTCGCTGGCTTCCCACCTCGGAGGCCAGAGTTCGATCCCTGGTCTAGTCAAGTGGGATTTGTGGTGGACAAAGTGG